CCCCTTGAAACACAATCACATGCTGAACTCCAACAGAAGGTGGGCATTACTTTTCATTCACCCCTCGTAGGACCCATTTTTGGTCTTTTTAGCAGCCCACAATATCCCTAAAACTCTTTCCGAGCATCACATCCTTTCTGATTTCCATGGGCGCCGTCTCGCTCCGTGCCTCGGGTAGCACGTATCTTGAGCTTGGCCCTCTTCGCTGATGGTCCCGGAGGACCTACAGCCCTGTAGGGTAGCCGTTGGCCGGCGAGGCTCCCGCCGCATAAGCAATGACTCGCATTAGCAAACGGGTGAGGAACTAGGCCACTTGTGACAGGTGATGGGGGAAAGCCTGTCGAGAGAGCGAGAGCTACGCCGGCTGTTCTTTTATTCATCTGCTCATTACCCTTCCGCTGGAGCCGGAGCCGGAGAGGCCTACGTTTTAATAGCGGAGCTGGTTAAGCGCTGGGATGCGAGCCGGCAGCTGTCCCAGCCCTGGGTTTGTTATTGAAACAACCGCCATTGTTGGGATGCATAATGAAGGCCTGTGGGAGAGACGGGGGTTCATTGTGGACCCCGGCGTGGAAGTCGTGGCTCGCTTGGAAACGGAGAGGAGGCAACAGAAGGAAAGCTCCTCCTTTCCCTCTTTCTTGCTTTTTAGTCTCTACAGCCTCCTAATTAAAAACCCACTGGCCTAAGGCTGGGATTTCCTTTGCATATGGTGCTCATTTGAGGGTCTCCTCCCCCAACTTTTTCTATGCTGAGAACGCAGATCTGCTAACTCTCCTCTCATTGGTGACTCAGATTGGTGTCGCAGATGCCAAAGTGGGTGGGCTGTTGGGACAGAACTGGGAAAAAGCCGGGTTTTGGACTTAATCATGATTATGATATTTATTAGGCTTGGGCGATCGAGAAAAAAAATTGGTTCTAAACTCGTTTCGTTTCGAGGGTGCGCTAGCGTTTCTAAATTCTGAGGACTTCCGAAATTTAAGATTTCGAAATTTCCGAAATTTCCGAAATTTCATAAATTACGAATCGATTCGTTAATGGCGGACGCGATTGCGCAATATGCTAAAAAACCTCCAAATGGGACAGGGGGAACTTCTGAAGCTTCCCTCTCCCTCTGTTGTTGACTGTTGGTGTGATAAAACAAACAACAACTATATTATATTATATATTATTATATTACATTTTAGGCTATATGGCCATGTTCTAGAGGCATTCTCTCCTGACGTTTCGCCTGCATCTATGGCAAGCATCCTCAGTGTATTACTCACCTCTGAGGATGCTTGCCATAGATGCAGGCGAAACGTCAGGAGAAATGCCTCTAGGACATGAGGATGCTTGCCATAGATGCAGGCGAAACGTCAGGAGAAATGCCTCTAGGACATGAGGATGCTTGCCATAGATGCAGGCGAAACGTCAGGAGAAATGCCTCTAGAACATGAGGATGCTTGCCATAGATGCAGGCGAAACGTCAGGAGAAATGCCTCTAGAACATGAGGATGCTTGCCATAGATGCAGGCGAAACGTCAGGAGAAATGCCTCTAGAACATGAGGATGCTTGCCATAGATGCAGGCGAAACGTCAGGAGAAATGCCTCTAGAACATGAGGATGCTTGCCATAGATGCAGGCGAAACGTCAGGAGAAATGCCTCTAGAACATGAGGATGCTTGCCATAGATGCAGGCGAAACGTCAGGAGAAATGCCTCTAGAACATGAGGATGCTTGCCATAGATGCAGGCGAAACGTCAGGAGAAATGCCTCTAGAACATGAGGATGCTTGCCATAGATGCAGGCGAAACGTCAGGAGAAATGCCTCTAGAACATGAGGATGCTTGCCATAGATGCAGGCGAAACGTCAGGAGAAATGCCTCTAGAACATGGCCATATAGCCCGAAAAAACCCACAAGAACTGAGTGATTCCAGCCATGAAAGCCTTCGACAATATATTATATTATATTATATTATATTATATTATATTATATTATATTATAATAATATTATTATATTATATTGTTGTATATTATATTATAATATTATTATATTATATTATATTATATATATAATATTATAATATATTATATATATTATATTATATTATACAATTAATATAATACTATAATATAATAGTATTATAATAATATAATATAATATAATATATATTATTATAATATTATTATATTATATATTATATTATAGTATTGTATATTAGAGTGAGGCAAGAAGAAGCATGAAGAAAGAGGAGGGAAGCAGCAGAGCAAAGGGACCGGAAGTGGGGTAAATGCGAGATTGTAAAACTTGCACCAGACATACGAAAATAATTACGAAATAATTACGAAAATTGGAAAAATTGTTTCGATTCTTAATTACTCCTCACACTATTCCTGCATGGTTTGATATTGGATCGTAAGCTAATTTAAATACGAATTAATAATGAATTACGAAATTAACGAACTGGATCGCCCAAGCCTAATATTTATTACAGTACAGTTGCGCCCGTACCTCGGGAAGTCAGACTTGGCCACGGTGGTCCACGCTCTGGTTACATCCCGTATAGACTACTGCAACGCTCTCTACGTGGGGTTGCCTCTGAAGACTGCCCGGAAGCTGCGATTACTCCAATGGGCGGCAGTCAGATTACTAACAGGAGTGGGGTACAGGGAGCATACTACTCTGTTACACCAGGTCCACTGGCTGCCAATTAGCTTCCGAGCACAATTCAAAGTGCTGGTGTTGACCTATAAAGCCCTAAACGACTCCGGCCCAGTTTTCCTGTCCGAACGGATTCTCCCCTATGAACCATCAAGGTTGTTAAGATCTTCTGGAGGGGCCCTGCTCTCGGTCCCACCACCCTCGCAATCGCGTCTGGTGGGGACGAGGGACAGGGCCTTCTCGGTGGTGGCCCCTCGGCTCTGGAACTCTCTCCCATTGGAGATTAGAACTGCCCCTTCCCTCCTGACCTTTAGAAAGTTGGTGAAAACCTGGCTCTGGAATCTGGCATTTGATGAGTGAGTCAATAACTCTTGACCACACGGACGGATGGGGATGAATAGTGATTTTATTCGGACAACTTGGCCTTATGTAATTATATGATTGTATTTTAATGTGTTTTATATCAGTGTATTATTGGATGTGTTGTTTTAAACTATTGTGTATGAATTCCTCTGTTGTAAACCGGCCTGAGTCCCTCGTTGGAGGTGAGAAGACCGGTATATAAAAGTTCTAAATAAATAATAAATAAATAAATAAATAAATAATAAATAAATACGGTGTTCTTTCACTTATCGCAGGGGTTCCGTTCCAGGACCCCCCGCAAAAAGTGAAAATCCGCAAAATAGGGGTATTCAAAGAGAGTTGTAGTTCACCTACATCCAGAGAGCGCTGTGGACTCAAACAATGATCTGCACCAAACTCAATACAGGAAGGGAGGGAGCCCAAGGCCAGCCGAGGAGGAAGTCCCAGGAGACCCAGGGGCGGCTCAACCCATACGCAAAGTAAGCATTCACAGTATAGTTGATTTTTCCCAGTGGTGCTATTGAGGTGCTCTTGGGGGAAAATAGACCTTGACATATCCGAGTTGTAGTTACTGGGATGTATAGTTCACCTACAATCAAAGAGCATTCTGAACTCCACCAATGATGGAATTGAACCAAGCATGGCACACTGAACTCCCACGACGAACAGAAAATATATATCAGTGATAGTATAGTTTGCTTACACTTGGAAATTACCTACCTCTGCCCCTACCCCAGTCAAAAATTAGTTGTGCTTGAGCAGATTTTAGCCAAGTCCCATGCAAAAGACATACAGGCAAGAGGAAAAAGGAACAGAAAAACTTTACTCTTATCACAGAGGCGCATAAACTTGCAGTGTTGCATACAAAATCAAACAGTGCAACAAACTTACATAGTCCTTGTAAGTAACACAGAATAAGGCTTCTTCATCTTCATTCAAATGAGAGAGCAAAACATAAACCTTGAGTAAATAGCTATTCCACCATAGCAAAGAGCATCGCTGTTAGAGCATAGCAGCATTACAGCATCTCCTTCAGAGCAGCATATTACTTCTCCAAACTGTATTCTAAAATCCATACAGTTACACCAAACATGGCTCAAACATGCTGGCTGACCTATATTACCAGCTGCACATAATAATTAACATCATAAGGTTTTTAATTAAAACACACTCGATCCTGCTATGACTTACTGTAACAAAATTGGGCTAAAGACCCAAAGCAAACCCGCTTTCAGTGCTTGACTCACATTTTTGTAATTAAAAATATTTGTTAACTTTCTCCGCAGAGTAGCGTATTGCTTCTCCAAACTGTATTCTAAAATCCATACAGTTACACCCCACCGAGTGTGGCTGAAACATGCTGGCCGACCTACATTACCCAGCTGCACATAATAATTAACATCATAAGGGTATTTTTTAACACACACTTGATCCTGCTATGACTTATTGTAACAAAATTGGGCTAAAGACCCAAAGCAAACCCGCTTTCAGTGCTTGACTCACATTTTTGTAATTAAAAATAATTTGTTAACTTTCTCCGCAGAGTAGCGTATTGCTTCTCCAAACTGTATTCTAAAATCCATACAGTTATACCCCACCCATCATAAGGGTTTTTTTTAACACACACTCGATCCTGCTACGACTTACTGTAACAAAATTGGGCTGAAGGCCCAATTTTAAACAAATAGTGATTGAAGTACATAAAAATGGTCAAATAAGCACATGGACGTTACATTTAAAATGCAAACAGCTTGGAGCTTTAGGCCAAAGCTTGGCTTTTCTTTGGTTATGGGATTGCAGCAGAATGGTGACCCATTTATAAGAGCCGACCCTATTGTTGTTTGGTATTTCTTTTGAAGTGGTTGTAGAATTGGAAAGGCTCATCCTGACTTAATCACCTAATATATTTTTCTTGTTCTTTTCCTTCTACCTCTTGAACCCCTCCCCCAACCCCACTGGCCTTCCCCTTGGGTTCCCACTTCCTCCCCTTCTCCAGAATCGGGGCCGCCTGGCGGAGAAGAGGACAATCCCTTTGCCTCCCACCAGAACACCGAAGAAAGAGGTGACCTCCATTTTCTCGCACAGCGAGGACAGTGAGGAGAGTGACAAGGTCAACGGCCACCACTCTGATGTCAAGCAAGAAGAGGATTTGCATATTAGTATCATGAAAAGAAGGTACTTTCCAACTCCCCTTCTTGAACGATTGCAGGGAAAGTGGGATTTTAGCCAATCGTATTGTAGATTGTGGCTGCCTGCCTACAAGAGGCAAGGTAAACAGCAGCTCCCTCCAGAATCCTTTTTACTGCGTATGCATGATATACAATAGGGGAGATGGATGTCTTTTGGAAGCAACTTTCTGGTGGTCCCTAGAAGGTTCAAAATGGGTTTCTTTAGTGTATTTGGTTGAAACAATACACATTGGGCTAAAAAGTTTGCTGGAACATGTTGAACCCCTCTTCCCTTTTGTGGGATGGGAAAATATCCCTATTGTTTCCATGTTATTTTTGCCTCTGGTACCAAAGTTTCTGTTGCAATGGCCAGGAACTCACCTGCTTCATGAACTGAGGTATACCTGTAATCATATACTGTATGCCATGGGTTGAGGACTCTGTAAAGCAGGCATGGGCAAACTTCGGCCCTCCAGTATGTGGATAGCATCCTCCAGTACGTGGATGACATGGTCATAGCATGGCATGGGCCAACTTGGGCCTTCCCAGGTGTTTTGAACTTGAACTCTCACAGTATGTGGATGACATACAGATAGCGCAAGTATGGGCCAACTTGGGCCCTCCCTCCAGGTGTTTTGGCTTCCACAATTTCTTCAGTAGGTGGACAACATCTTTCAGTATGTGGATGACATACTCATAGCACAGGCATGGGCCAACTTGGGCCCTCACTCCAGGTGTTTTGGACTTCAGCTTCCACAATTTATTCAGTATGTGGACAACATCCTTCAGTATGTGGATGACATACTCATAAGACAAGCATGGGCCAACTTGGGCCCTCCCAGATGTTTTGGACTTCAACTCCCACATTTTCTTCAGTACAGGGACAGTATCCTTCAATACATAGATGACAGGCTCATAACAGAGGCATGGGCCAACTTGCACATTTCCTCCAGGTGTTTTGGACTTCAACTCCCACAGTTCCTTCAGTATGTGGACAACATCTTTTAGTATGTGTATGACATACTCATAGCAAAGCATGGGCCAACTTGGGCTCTCCCAGGTGTAGTGGACTTCAATTCCCACAATTCCTTCAATATGTGGACAACATCCTTTAGTATGTGGATGACATGCTCATAGCACGAGCATAGGCCAACTTGGGCTCTCCCAGGTGTTTTGAACTTCAGCTCCCACATTTCCTTCAGTATGGGGACAATAAAATATCCTTCAATACATGGACGACTGGACCATAGTCACCGGCATGGGCCAACTTGGGAATTCCCTAAAGGTGTTTTGGACGTCAACTCCCACAATTCCTAACAGACTTAGGCTCTTTTCCTTTCCCCTCAGCCACTTAGGAAGGTGCCTGAGGCTGTTAGGAATTGTGGGAGTTGAAGTCCAAAACACCTAGAGGGAGAGCCCAAGTTGGCCCATGCCTGTGTTATGAGCCTGTCATCCACATATTGAAGAATATTGTCCCCATACTGAAGGAAATGTGGGAGCTGAAGTCCAAAACAGGAAGGGCCAAAGTTTGCCCGTGCCTCAAGTAACAACACAACTGTTAAATACTAAGGCTTCCTGCCAAAAGGGAACTGTAGAGGAGAGTCTACTGAACAAGCCAGTACCTGCCGCATACCAGTACTGCCATCTGCTCAGGAGTTACGAAGGTGGAGGAATTACTTTTCATTCAACTCTCGTAATATTAGCAGGAGCAAAGAGCAAGTTAGTGCCACTGGAAATATATGTGGTGGCTTCCTGGCTTTGGATTTCTCTGAGCAACGGCAGCGTTTGTAAGACCTTGTAATAGCAAGGCAATAAAAATGTAACGCAGCCACGTCTCGTAGCCCTCCCCTTCCCCGGTGCGTGTCATTACAGCTATTTTTGCTCATCATTGCCACCATCATCGCCGCTAATGCACGAAGTTGCTTGGATTGCAGAGATGAGCCCTGCATAAACAAAGGAGTGGAAAGCAAAGGCATGTAATTGCTTGATATGTATGTGTATGTTGCTTGAGAGCGGTTGAGCCATTTGCCTAGGATGGGATGGGTTCCAGGAGCTGGGCTTCCCTCCTCCTTCTTTCCCCCACCAACTAATCAATCAATCAATCAATCAATCAATCAATCAATCAAAAGACAATCCCTAATTTGAACTAGAGAACTGCTATGCTCCACATTAAACAAATGGCTGTTTTGTGTGTGTATTTGTACCTTTTAAGTCGATGGAAATCATGACCCATCCTTCCTCTTGCCCATTTAATTGAGGACCATTTCAGTGCCAAGGAGATTTATTTATTTATTGTGTTAGAAGCAAATTGTGAATATTTATTTATGACATTTATATGCCGCCCTTCTCACTCCAAAGAAGACACAGAGCGGCTTACAAGATATATACGCATACAATACATTATATTATTAGCATAGTACAATATCAGTTATCAGTATTAAATATTGCTATATTGTACTATTCCATTATTCCAGCTGATGACATATGCAGAGTAGGAAAGCACAAGTACAGATGGCTTCACTGTGTCTGGTTGTGATCCCCAGGTTATGCCCGTCAGCTTTTGTATAGTATTGTTTCTAGCATCCATTTTTGGCTTGATATTCAGGCAGTGCTTCTTGTAGGACAGAGCATGGCCCAGAGTGACTCCCAAGTATTTGGGTGTGCTGCAATGCTCCAGTGGGATTCCTTCCCAGGTCATCCACAGTGCTCGAGATACTTGTCTGTTTTTAAGGTGAAAAGCACATGTCTGCATTTTTGATGGATTTGGAATCAGCTGGTTTTCACTGTAATAGGCAGTAAGAGCACTTAAAGCTTTGCAGGGCTTCTGTTCAACCATTTCAAAGCTCCCTGCTTGAGCGGTGATGGCATGATCATCAGCATAGATGAAACTCTCTGTCCCTTCTAGCAGTGGCTGGTCATTTGTGTCAATGTTAAACATTGAGGGAGCAAGCTGGTGTTCTCTGTAATAGGCAGTAAGAGCACCTAAAGCTTTGGAGAGCTTCTATTCAACCATTTCAAAGCTCCCTCCTTGAGCGGTTGATGGCACAATCGTCATCATAGATGACATTATGTGTCCTTTCTGACAGTGGCTGGTCATTTGTGCAAATGTTAAACATTGATGGAGCAAGCATGCTCTCCTGAAGCAGTCCGTTGTTTTGTTTTCGCCATCTGCTTCTCTGGCGCTTGAGCTCTTGTTCAACCATTTCAAAGCTCCCTTCTTGAGTGGTGATGGCACGATCGTCAGCATAGATGAAACTCTCTGTCCCTTCTGGCAGTGGCTAGTCATTTGTGTCAATGTTAAACATTGATGGTGTAAGCTAGTTTTCCCTGTAATTGGCAGTAAGAGCACATAGAGCTTTGGAGAGCTTCTATTCAACCATTTCAAAGCTCCCTTCTTGAGTGGTGATGGCACGATCATCAGCATAGATGAAACTCTCTGTCCCTTCTGGCAGTGGCTGATCATTTATGTAAATGTTAAACATTGATGGAGGAAGCACGCTTTCTTGAGGGAGGCCATTCTTCTGTCTTTGCCATTTGCTTCTCTGGCCATGGAACTCAACAAAAAAGCTCCTGTTTTGTAGTAGATTTCCTATGAAGCTGGTATGGTGGTCATCCTTTAGAGAAAGAAAGGAAAGACTAATCATTAGGAAGAACTTCCTCATGGTAAGAACTGTTCATTAGTGGAATATGTTGCCTGGGATTCCAATGGAGGAAGTTTTTAAGCCGAGGCTGTATGGCCAATTGTTGGGAGTGCTTCGATCGTGTTCTCCTACATGGCAGGGGGTTGGACTAGATGGCCCTTGAAGGTCTCTTCCAACTATTTGATTTTACGAAGAGGATATCTAGAAAGTCTCTTTTTCATAAAATTACCGTCAATCAACGATGACTCAACAGCAACTAACAACATTTGTGACGAACAGATGTAAGTCTTAATATTTTATTCTCGTCTAGAAATCCATTTTAATTAACTGTGAGTGATTTTAAGCACTCTGGTTTCTAATAATAATTTGATACCCACCATCGTTCTTCCTGTTGGGCTTTGGATGAAGGAACGCCTGGAAGTTGTCCTACTTGCGTTCTCCCAAAAATAGAACTGAAGTCAGATGGCGCTGCCTTCGTCTTCTATCGATGGCTGCGCCCACTCATCAAGGAACACGCATTTAGAAGCATCGACAGCACCCTACGCCGTTCTACTGAAAATCCAGTGCATTTTAAGAACCGGAAGCTATTCTTTGGTCTATTGTTGAAGGCTTTCATGGCTGGAATCATTGGGTACTCGTGTGTTTTCGGGGCTGTTTTGCCATGTTCCAGAAGCATTCTCTCCTGACGTTTCGCCCACATCTATGGCAGGCATCCCCAGAGGTTGTGAGGTCTGTTGGAAACTAGAAAGGTGGGGTTTATATATCTGTGGAATAATGTCCAGAGAAAGAACTTTTCTCTGTTTGAGATAGGTGTGAATGTTTTCAAGGTGTGACTTCTTACTGCCTGGGGGAATCCTTTGTTGGAAGGTGATTCACTGTCTTGTCTGGAGTTCCCCCGTTTTCGAGTGTTCTTCTGCAAACCTAGCAGTTCGAAAACATGCAAATGTGAGTAGATCAATAGGTACCGCTCCGGCGGGAAGGTAACGGCGCGCCATGCAGTCATGCTGGCCACATGACCTTGGAGGTGTCTATGGAGAACGCCGGCTCTTTGGCTTAGAAATGGACACGAGCCCCAATCCCCAGAGTCAGACCCGACTGGACTTAATATCAGGGGAAAACTTTTACCTTTACCTTATTTACCGTTATGATTTTAGAGTTGATTGATTGATTGATTGATTGATTGATTTACCATACTTATATAAACCGCCTTTCTCAACCCAAAGGCGACTCAAGTCACGAATGGTTTTGTTGTTAGTTGCTGATGATAATTTTATGAAAGAGAGACCTTCTAGAGTTCCTCTTCATAGAATCATAGCATCATAAAGTTGGAAGAGACCTCCAAGGGCCATCTAGTCCAACCCTCTTC